CGGCGCCATTGGCGCGAGAGCGCAGAGCTCCGTGCGCGCGCGCGCGAACGCAGAGCACGCGCGCCCCGCTGGCGGCGGCGCGGCGTCGGTGGCGACGGTGGCCCAGATCTCCGACGGTCGGATGTCTTCCCAACCATCCTGTGGTGTTGGGTCCTCGTTCTGAAGAGACAGCACCCCGCAGTCTCCTCCTCCCACTGCCCCCCATCCCTCCTCCCATCCCTGCCTCTGTTCTCCGCATCAGTCCGCCATGTCGGCACACCCCTCACACGTTTCGTGGCCCCATAGGTAGCTCGAGGTCCCAGTGCTACCGCCCGCATGCGTCCCCCCCCACCCAGTACAGCGCTGCGTGGCCCATAGGGAGCTCCACCGAAGGCCACAATGCTACCACTCGCATGCGTTCCCCCCACCCAATACAACGCTTCGCGGCCCCATAAGGAGCTCCACCGAAGGCCCTAGTGCTACCGCTTGCATGCGCCCACCCACCCACCCAGTACAGCGCTTCGTGACCCCATCGGGAACTCCACCAAATGTCCCAACAGTACCGCCCGCATGCGTCCCCTCCACCCAATACAACACTTCGTGACCCAATAGGGAGCTCCACAGGATGTTTCGATGCTACCTCCCGCATGCGTTTCCCCAACCGAGTGCAGCGCTTCGTGGCCCCATAAATAGCTCCACCGAAGGTCCAAATGCTACCACCCGCATGCGTCTCACCCTATACAGAGATTCGTGGCCCCATCGGAACTCCACCGAATGTCCCGGCGCTACCGCCTGCATGCGTCCCCTCCATCTAGTACAACGTTTCGTGGCCCCATACGGAGCTCCACCGACGGCCCAAGCGCTACCGCGCGCATGCATCCCCCCCACCCAGTACAAAGCTTCGTGGCCCCATGAGGGCTCCACCGACGGGCCAGCGGCACCGTCCGTATGCGCCCCCCCGCCCATTACAACGTTTCGTGGCCTAATTGGGAGCTCCACCGAAGGCCTCAGGCGCATGCGTTTTCCCCACCCATTACAGCGCTTCGTGGCCCCATACGGACCTCAGGGAGCTCCACCTATGGGCCACGAAACGTTGTAGTGGGTCGGGAGGACGCATGCGAGTTTTGCCACTGGTGTCTTCGGTGGAGCTTCCTATATGGCCACGAAGCGCTGTACTGGGTGGAGGAGGCGCATGCGAACTTTGCCACTGGTGCCTTCGGTGGAGCTCTCTATGGGGCCACGTAGCGCTGCACGGGGTGGGCGAAACGCATGCGAACACCGCCTCTGGGGCCTTCGGTGGAGCTCGTATGCGGCCTCGAAGCGTTTACTGGGTGGTGGAGGCGCATGCGAACCTTGCTTCTGGGGCTAGGGCGCTCCATTGAAGACGGTACCCACAACTGCGGCACTCACAACAGCATATGGTTGGGTCCTTCGCCAACCCAATTCAATCCGGGCGCCTGTCCTTGAATTCGGCCTCTGGGAACTCTTCTCGGGCCACGCGGCCATAGGAAACGGTTCCGCGCAAAAATATCGTGGCGAAGGGCATTACCACATGCAGGTGTGTGTATCGCTGTTGTGGGTATCGCATTCGGTGGATCTCGTTATGGAACCACGAAGCATGCGTCGCAGCATTTGGGGCCTTCGGTGGCACTCCATATGGGGGCAAGAAACGCTTGACGGTGTGCTGACATGGACAGGGGCGGCCATGCGAACGTCGCCAGTGGGGTCTTCGGTGGAGCTCCCTATGGTGCCACGAAGCGCTGTACTGGGTGGAAGAAACGCATGCGAATTCCGCCATTGGGGCCGCCGGTGGAGCTCTCTCTCTATGGGGCCACGAAGCGCGGTACGCATGCGAACACCGCCACAAGGGCCTTCGGTGGCAAACCTACGCGGAAAAGACACCGCCACTTGAGCCTTTGGTGGAGCTCCCTATGGGGCCACCAAGCGCTGTACTAAATAAGGGGGCCGTATGCGAACACCGCCACCGGGATTTTCTGTGGGGCGCCCCATGGGGCCACGAAGCGCTGTACTGAGCGGGGGAAGCGTATGCGAACACCGCCACTGAAGCCCTTCGCTGGAGCCTCTTTATGGGGCCACGCTGTGCTGAACGGGGGGGACCGCAAGCGAAGTTTGCCACGGGGGCTTTCGGTGGAGCCCCCTGATGGCGTCACGAATCGCTGTAGTGGGTGGGGGAAACCATACGAACACGGCCACTGGGGCCTTCGGTGGAACCCTACCGGGGCCACGAAAAGCAATACTGTGCGGGGGAAGCGCATGCGAACAACGCCAGTGCGGCCTTCGGTGGAACTCCCGATGGTGCCACGCAGGCGCTGCACTGAGCGGGGGGGAAGCATGCGAACGCCGCCACTGGGGCCTTCGGTGGAGCTCCCTCTGGGGCCACCAAGCGCTGCACGTACTGAGCGGGAGGAACGCATGTGAACGCCGCCTTTGGGGCTTCGGTGCCACGAAACGCGGTACTGGGCGGGAGAGACGCGTGTGAACACCCCCACTGAAGCCGTCGGTGGAGCTCCCTACGGGGCCACGGAACGCGCGAGGGGCGCACCGACATGGGGCGCAGATGACATATGCAAGAAGGGCTAACTAGGTCGGAACAGCCCTGGGGGGAGGATATTGGCAAGTCCGAAACAAACAGGATCAATGGCACCCATTTGAGATGGATGTCTTGCCCTGAAGGACAGAACTCCCGACACTCTGACCAGGGCCCGCGACCAGGTGACGCGACCGAAACTATTCCTCCACCCCGTGAACCACATTGGCTCGCACGCGCTCCGCTGGCGCGGCCAGCCGTCTCTCGTGCCCACGGGCAGCGGGGGTACAAGAGAGGGCGGCAAGGGCGGAAGCATGGGCAAGAGTCTTGCACGGGCAACGCTGAAACCGCGGCGGCTCGATCCATGAACTGGCGGACGCGACTGCCGGGGCCTTCGCGGCCTTTCCTCGCGGGTCTCTTGCAGACCTGATCGAGGAGACGAGAACAACAGTGCGCCCAGCAACCGAATCTAATGCACAAAAACTGCAGACGGTTTTGCTCTACCGTGGAGGGCTCGGGGGCCCTGGGATGGATGTCGCGAGGGCCCGCGCCAACGACGAGGTGCCCCGGGAAAAAGCCATCGACCTGGCGGGCGAACTCAGGGGCCCCAGAGCAACCCGGAGCCTTCTTATGCGAGCCCCGATGGTTCATCATTAGACAACGCTCGCACCGCGCTCCGAACGGCCCCGCCCCCCGCCCACGTCAGCCCGGGGGGGGCTTGACTCGGGGCGGGCGAAAGGGGGGGATAGTAAGGGGTAGGGCTGGGGATTCGCAAACACGAGGTGGGCGGTCAAAACTTCCCAGCTAATGGTAGCACAGGTGGCGGCCCCTACAATCAGATCACGCGCCCTCGGCCTGCGTTCGCATGCCTGGAAGCGCGCTGGGGGCGCGCGCGCCTGCCACAATGTAGATGCAGTCGGCGCCCTGCCCGCGCGCCCCACCGCGACCGCGCGTCTGCCCACGCACCCATGGACGCGCGATCGATCCATGCGCGCTCGACGCGCTGAACGGGCAGCGCGCGAGAGGCATTCGCGCGCGCGCGCACGAGGAAACTCGCAATCGCGAAGGCTGCACGCGCGCGCGACATGACTCAGCAGGGGCGCGCCCCAAAACGCGGGAAAAAACATTCACCCCGCCCCCAATCCGCCCCTCCTCTCCCAGAGCCCCCCCCCCCCCGCGCCCAACCAGCAAAGTGGGGCTGATCCGGCGGGGGACCAGCTACATGCGGCTAGTTTCGCGCCGAACTAGCTCAGATCCAGTTGCGCGCAGCCAGCGTTCCTCGACGCGCACCTCGACGCAGAAACGCGGAGATTCTCAAATCTGAAAACTAAAAGAAAACGGCCCGGAATCAGCTGCTGTAGCTGGTTCCCCGCGTAAGTTTGCCGCGCCCATCTGGGCGCTGTCGCTGATCGCGGGCCGCTCGCTGATCAGAGACAACGCCCAGCCGGGCGCAGCAAGCGTCGCGCCCGCTCGCGCCCCAGACGTCGCGCTTGCGCCTTCGCCCGCGCTGCGCGCCCTGAGCCATTGACCCCCCCCCCCCCCTCATGCCGATCCCCCCGGCGCTCCGACGCACCGCTCAGGAGGGCCGATAAACCTACGGGGGCACGCGAAACGCGCGGGGGGCTCATCTTCGTGACATCACGCTCGCACATAACGCCCGTGCCGCGCCTCAAAGCACACGCGCTCGGATCGACAGCGCCGCGATCCAGTTCCAGACCGCTGCGCCCGACTCCCTTGCGCCAGACAGCCAAAAGCCCTTGCCTGAACAGTGCCTCCCCAGACCGCGCGCTTCGAGGCACGCCCGGTTCTGCGCCCGCTCCGGCACCGCAGAATTCGCGCGAGAAGCGCGCTCGGGCGGAAGCGCGAAGGAAGGCGGCCAGAGAGGAGAGGGATGGGAGGACAGAGGAAGAATCGGCGCTCGGGGGCGAGATAGCGTAGCTACGCTGCTCGGCGTGTCAGACCAGCAGCAGGTATCAAATTCCGAACCCCCCCTTCCCCTACCCCCCCTTTCGTCGGAGGGCGCTCTCTCTTCGTTCTGGACCAGAAAACGGGCAGCGCAGCAGCAAAAATCTCGACAGACAGTAAGGCCTTCATAACGACATGTTCTAGCCTGTTGGCCGTATCTGGGCCTCCAGGTTCGCGATGCTCGAGCGCCTCTTTGGCGCGAATGTCGGCAGCGCCGTCAGCCTTTGCTGGGCAGCGCCCCCACGGCGGCCAGTTATCGACCGCGCCCCCGCCCCGATGGGCTTTGACGCGCCGGGCAATTTCAAAAACAGGCAGCGCCCCATCCAGAGACCCGGCGAACGCGGGGACTCCTGCGAACACCCTGCTGGCACGAAGCTGCTCGTGCTCGGGTAAGAAAGCCTGGGCCACGGCTGCGCGCGCACGAACGCTCGCGCTACGATTGGCGACTCGGCATGCGACAGCTAAAGCTAGAGCAAGGATCGGCCATGACGGGGGTCTGCGAGAAACG